CCCTCCACTGTCAGCTGAGGTTCGGCCGGTCCCCGGCCCATCCGCCGCAGCCGTGGTGGCAGCCCCGGGAGGAGCACTGGCGTCCGTTTCCTTCGGTGCGTATCTGTCCTGAGACGGAGGGGCCGGCGCAGTGGCCGCCGAGGCGGAGGCCGGGCGCGGGGGTGGGAGGTGGTTCGGCAGTTGAGCAGAGTGGGCGGTCTGGACGGGGCTGTGAGAATGGAGGGGCCCAAAGGTCGGAGTGAAGGGCCGTGGGAGTAGCTCCCCGGCGAACCTGGCCTCCTCCCTCAGGGCTCATTTACTTTGTAGGGAACGAGGACGGGCTGGGAGTGGTGGCTCGAGCCTGTCGTCCTGGCGCTCGGGGAGGCGAGGCAGGAGGCTCCCTGAGCTCGGGGGGTCGGAGACCAGCCTGAGCAAGGGCGAGACCCCGTCTCTATTGAGAACAGGAAAGGTAGCCTGGCGCGGTGGCGGCGCCTGTAGCTCCAGCTGCTCAGGAGGCTTAGACTAGAGAATCTTTTGAGCCCAGGAGTTTGAGATTGCTGCGAGCTGTGATGATGCCGCAGCACTCTACCCAGGGCGACAGTGAGACTGTCTCAAAAAAGAAAAAAAAAAGGGCAGTGCCTGTGGCTCAAAGGACTGCATAAGTTATATGCAGTCAAAGTGGAGAGGAACTTCTGTCTATTAAAAGCCAGATTCTTCCCCTTCCATTAGCTAGACCTGGTTCTGCCTTTTTTTTTTAAAGCAGTCTTACTCTCACCCTGGGTAGAGGGCACTGGCCTCATCATACCTCATGGCAACCTCTTGGGTTCAAGCTACCCTCCTGTCTCAGCCTCCCTACACGTGTCCACTACCAAGCCTGACTAGTTTTTCTGTTTTTAGTAGAGATGGGTCTAGCTTTTACTGGGGCTGGTCTCCAACTCCTGTGCTTAAGGGATCCTTGGCAGCGCTCCTAGCTCAGTGGGTAGGGCACAGGCCGCATACACCGAGGCTGGCAGGTTCAAACCCAGCCTGGGACTGCTAAACATCAATGACAACTGCAACAAAAAAAATAGGCGGGCACCTGTAGTCCCAGTTACTTGGGAGGCTGAGGCAAGAGAATTGCTTAAGCCTAAAACTTTGAGGTTGTTGTGAGCTATTACACCATAGCACTCTACCCAGGGCAACAGTTTGAGACTCTCTCAAAAAGGGACCCACCTGCCTTGGCCTCCTAGAGTTCTGCATTACAGGTGTGAGCCACTGTGCCCAGACTGGTTCCACAATTTTTGAGACTTTGGCAGATATTTTCTTTCCCATGGCCTCGAAGTAAAAGTGCTTGAAATGAGTTTTGATCTCCAGCAGTCAGTGATTTTTTTCATCTATTGTTGGTTTGGGGTCTTTTCCCTTGATAGAAATGATTTGCTTATTTTGCCTATTGTACTTTGTAGATTCTCGGGATTTGAAGATGGCTGCACAGTCAGCGCCGAAAGTTGTGCTAAAAAGCACCACCAAGATGTCTCTAAATGAGCGGTGAGGCAGCCA